CTGTGCTTTCCAGTGTGTAGGAGCTCTCACAGGCTCATCAGGTTTATTATTTTCATTTTAAATTCATTGGAGCCTTGTTATCCTACTTGACATCTGCCTGGAGTTTAAGAGCCCTGGTCCAGGACAGCCGCCAATGATTCATTCATTGTTATTAATCAATACCTAGTTATTGATTAACAAAGCAAGTAATTTATTCAAACAAGGGATATCTGGTCCTTGAGGCTTGAGGAGTGTTCAGCTTTTTGCTCCAAATGGACTCCAAATCACCCACTTGATTAATCACAACTAAATTGTTCAGTTCAACTAAATTGAATGTTTTTTCCCCCCTAGAACCTGCTGAGCTGGTGTTTTCTGTGTGTTGGTTGTTGAAGCATGCTGTTCTTAATCGGGGATTTGCAATTCTAGGGAATTTGCATACTTCGGGGGGGAGGACAACAGAATGTAGTGAGAAGGAGGATTCCTGAAGGCTGTGATGATCTAGTTGGTTTACGATGATGCAAACTGTCCGTTTGCACCTCTTATACAAACTATGGTTCAGCAAGGAGATCCAAGAACTTAGGGGACCCCCAGGAGGACAAAGTGGACCAGGGCAACGAACCCCAGCATTTTGAATCCTTTGATACAATTAGTGCACCTTGATTCTACATCCATTTTCTAACCACTTCTTTCAATTCAGTGTCATGGGGGGGCTGGAGCCTGTGGCGGCAGGCAGGGGGGGGCAAGGTGGGGTACACACCGGGCGGGGCGCCAGGCTGTGGCAGGGCACATACAGACACAGGCGCGCACACACTCACACCGGGGACATTTTCATAGGAGCCAATTTGCCCAGCAGACAACACGACTGTGGGAAGACACCGGGGAGAACGTGCAAACTCCACACAGACAGCTTCCCAGGTCTGAAATCGAACCCGGGGCCCCCCGCGCTGCGAGGCAGCAAAGCTGACCATTGCGCTGCGCTATTTTCTCCATCCAATTTAAGCGGGGCAGCAGCTCAATTTCTCTACACGCCGGTGTGAGTTCTCCAAAGTCCCCTGCTCATAAACTCTCAGGCTTTAAAGGTCCTGTCCTGGAGCTGAAGGGGTTAAGGCCAGCGGCGAGCGGGCGGGGCTGTTCCACCCCCCGGAGTGGATACAGTGTTTGTCTCGCTCAAAAGCTTTGCTCTCCAGCAGCGCCTGTGCCACCGGGGTGAGTCATTAGAGTCACAAGGCCAGACTGAGGCGGCCCCCTGCCATCCCCTCACTAGAGCAAACACTGCGTAATGTGACAGGCTCCCGCAAGGCCACTGATTGCACTGCGTTAAACTCCAACAAACCGCTTCAGGAAGGTGGGGTGAATAAAGCGATTAATAATAATAATAATAATAATAATAATAATAATACTCCTTACACTTACAGTACAAAGCTCTATTCTGCACACTCCACTCAAAGCACTTTACAGGTAATGGGTAATGAAGATCACATCTTCAAGGAGGGCCCTCGGTCTGTGGCTGGTCCCTGCCAGTTCTCTCCTCTCCTCCGGGTCAAGATGAACGTTAGTGGTGTTTGGCCTGAGAGCCGGTCAGCAGCAGGCCCCCGCTGGAACACACGGAGCCCCCCCCACAGCAGCGTTAGCGTGCAGGGGAGGCCCCTCCCCCAGGAACAGTAAACGCCAGGGAAGATTACAGAGCATGCTTGTTGGATTCAAACCCGCCCCATTCACGGGGTTAAAAAAAATCGACCTGTCGCCAGAGAGCAAGGATTTCCTGTGTCAAGGAGTACAACCTGTCCGCCTGTCTGTGTTTGGTTTAACTCAGACACTGTTCAGCCTTTTCTTTCCTTCCCCTTTCCTCTTCCTCTGTCTGCTGCTCCCTGTCTGTAATGTGGAAAAGCCATTTTTGATTGAGTCCGGCAAACTGATATTTCTCCCCTCTGTGGGTTCCATCTGTGTGTGTGGAGGGGAACGATAGAAGAAACGATCTCTCCTCTTTCATCCATTTCTGTTATTTTGTGTGCGAGAGAGTGTGGGTGTTCCGGGACAGCAGGACGGGCCGAGCTCGGTGCTACAGTACTGCCTGCACGACGAACGCTGACCCGCTGTCCTGTACTCCTACAGCACTTCCGCTGGCCTCATTACGGCAAGCTCATCAAAGACGAGATGCTGTCCGTCAGCGTGTACAACTGCAGCAAGGTCTTCAGCAACAGGTGGGCTCCCGGGCAGGGCATCCAGCTCCCAGTGTACTGCAGCTGGAGCCGGTCCAGGTGTTCCACGCTGCCGCTGCTCGCGTATAAGCAGGGAGGGTGTCAGGGCGATGTCAAACCCCTAGCGTCCTGCAAATTGTCCAGCCCTCCCGCGTCGGGGCCATTTGGTACGGCGAGTCTGTGTGCCGATTGCCTCCAAACCTGGAGCTGCTCGAGAGACGAGGCCCCGAATCCCAGGACTCCCTGCAGACGCGGCGCAGAGCAACACTTGAGCAGTATTGCCCCCAGATTTCTATAGC